TAAAGACTAAATCAGAGGACAGAGGAAGAAGTCCATCTTAAATTATAAAGAGCTACCCAAGTATAATAGAGTGAATACCAGAAGAGAACAAGGCAAGAACCCAGCTGCTGCTGATCTCCAGATAAAGGCAAAAATTCCATCAAAGAGCAAAGACTCCAGGGCCTGAGATTTTTGGGGTACCAAAGTCGATGGTGGGGGAGCCACAATGAGACTGGAGCTTGAGTTAGACAGCTAGTGGGATTCCTTTTATTTTTTTTGTAGATGCCGATTTGATCTCTATGGTTGCTGCAGGTCTAAACTTAAAAGAAATCTTACCCTATTGTCTCTTCTCTAAGGCTTAAGGTGCAAAGAGTTAATTACTTTGTTACATTCATCTCTCTTTCCAAATTTTCCACATGGGCTTCTCCCTTCATTTGCCATCATATGAAACAGAAGAATATTTATTATTTATTGTGTGTATTAAATTTTATGTCTTTTCTTCTTAATGCTTAAAATGCATGAGTTTACTGCTTTCTGTATTCTCTCCTTAAAAGAGCAATATATTTGTTGTTGTTTTTATTGTTTACTTGCAGTTCTCGACTTTTCTTAGGGTCAGTAATTCTTCATAAAAAGCAAAATGAAAAGACACTTCTGGCATGCCTTAATCACAAGAAGCAAACAACTTCCCATATATTTTTCTTATTCTTAATTCCTTTATCTTTTACCCAATTTAAATATAATACCTATAAATGCCCACTCAGTAATGGTTAAGTTATATGGTTTTACTTCAGGGCTCAATAGTAACTTATTAAAGTATATTTTATAAAATGATTTGGCTGTCAAGATAACATGACTATAGCAATGACTTATGTGCACACTGTGGATCATCGTTATGGCTCTAAGTCAGTTCTAAAGGGAACGTGATATGCACACCTACATGCCAATTTCAATCTTGATTATCAACTGCAATTCATTAGAGTAGAGGAGTTCCGAAGAGTTTATTCATTTTAAGCCTTGTTTCACTTGTCTAGAAATGAACTGCTAAAGTACTCAGAAGGAAAGCATATCTGAATAATTCCTCCGCTTAAAATCATCATTATTTTTGCACTTACAATAGGCAACATGTAACAGTGCATTATACATAGTCTTGCTCATTTTATGTGTCTATGGCTTATTTCTAAATTGTAAATGCCTTAAATACAGATAATGCCTCTACTCTTTCTCTGTCTCCCATGATGGGAATATGGATATCTTCTAGCACTTGCTTCACTTAAGAATATTGGGCTTAAATGGAAAAACTAGTTCACATGTATCAAAAAAGGTTCACTTAAAAGCTTCCCTTATGATCTAGGTTTCATTTGGAAATGATGATGCTTGTAATGATTATGTCTTATCCCCTCAAAGCAATTTGGAAAGCTTTGTCTGATAAACCTTTTTCATCCCAGTTCTATCTTTTGCTGTTCTCACCTCCCTCCCCTCCACTTTCTCCAATCTCTTTCCTCTTTATCCCTAACATTATTATTATTATTTTTGGGATTCACTCTTCTACTCTGTACACACTTGAGCAATTATGTAGGAAAAAGGAGCTGGCATTTTCTTACTGTAACCCAAAGAAAAACAAGCCTAAGCATATTATGATAACATAAAAAGCCAATAGATTAATCTTCTGGAGAAAAAAAATCTGACCAGAAAGAAAATATATTTGTTTCAAGTTACTTTCAAAATACAATATTTAGATTGAAAAAAAGTACACATGGGTCTGGGTCAGTTTGTTTACTTAGAGAAGGTACTGTGAATGTTCTTAATTATGTATGAGTACATAATCTAGGTTGGTATAATTTTAGATGAAGCTGCTAAAACTAAAATGTTTGAGAAAACAGATATTGCTAAATAGTACAGAGAAACCACTTTATACAGCACCATTTTTTCATTGAACACTCAACTGAGAAGTAAAACATCCAGAACATGCCCAGTTTATTGGGAGTTTGTTTTCATGTTTCTGCATGTGTTTATAAAAGCATTTCAAGATGTAGCTTTTTTCTGATTCTACCTTGCTAAAAAATCAATCAAGCAACCATCATTTGCTAATAAATGTTTTTTTTATCACCGCTTTCAAACCCTTTTCAAGGCATCTGAGTTCATCTTCACTTCCTCCGTCTTGAAACAGAGACCCCATGCTGTGACACCCTAAAACCACCTCTGGATTCAAAACTATGACTGCCTGGAATTGAAGGCCCAGTTGCTGAGAATCCCTAATTTGCAAAGCAAGGGAGAGTTCCTAACTGAGTAACTAGAGTTTGTAACTAAAAACAAAAACAAAAACCTGTTCATCTATTGCAAGTCAGTATACTCCCTTTGTTATATGGTATGCAATTAAAGGCATTTGAAATAAAAGGTAAGTTAAATCATCTCAGGGACAAGAAAATACTATTTTAAACCAGGGAGTGTCAAATGATTTTCAATTCAGTACCAAAGGGTATTTCACAGGTAATTTCTCAGGCTGATGTTAGCTAATTATTAGCTACCATGCCCTGCCTCCCATTCTTAGTGACTATCTCCTGGCAGAAAGACACAGCTAGGAGTGTTTTGTTTCATTTGTCCTTGGAGTTTTTATCAGCATCAAGAAGGTGGACTGAGCCAAAGTTAGAGGAATTCTGGAGCTAAGCAAAAAGCGACACGTTTAACAGCCCCCATTAATTGGGGCTGTTACATGATTAATTTGAGAAAAACAGAAGAGACCGATTTCTTTACAACTCACAGTTGGATGCAATGCACTAAAAGTAATCCTGTAAATTACATTTTAAATCTCCAACATATTCCAAGCAGATAAAATAGTGGCATGATTGACCAAACTCCTTTTAAAAGTACACATATTACGATGCATCATAGTTATAAACAGATGGTATTTGGCCTCCTTCCTATTCTCAACATTTGGAATTTCTAAACTATGTGAATTAAACAATAATATTTTATAAACATACAAGGGATTTTGCTCACTGCTTTGTTAACATAGAAATTATACAATGCTGACATTTATTTAAATTTTAAAAAGTAAACAACAGTGTGCATCGAAATAAAGCAAACTAAAATCAACATAGAGAAGTATGTTCTGTGTGCATACTACCTACAATGGCACTGGCCTTTTAAAGGGAAGACATAATGGGTTGAAGAACAAATTGTAGCGTAGATCGGCCTAATCCCTTGTACTCCAAGGGCTCATTTAACACCTCTCTGTAAACAACGGATATTTATACCATAATTGGCTATTTGACCATCAGTGTTCATTTACTATGTAACCTGCTATTATGGAGTTAAAAGAAGTTCCCCTTCGTTGGCTCGTCAGCTTTCAGAGTAGTGAAAGTGTCCTCGCAGTTTTAAAAACACTTACACAAACGGGAATCAGTCTGACACTTGTACTCAGAATGAGAAACATTATCATGATATCAATAAGTATATATTTATTCTTTGGGGGATATTATTGCCAGAAAGAAAAGGAAATATATTAGATCTGAGTGTCATTTCCTGAGATTCTTTTCTAAAATTGTAGCTTTAACTCTTTCGCCGCAGTTTGGAAGGGAGACCCATCTGCTGATTTGATGTACTAAATAGAAGGCACTTGGTTTCCAAACACTATTCTCACTTTTGCAAAGTTGCGCTGTGATGAATAAATAATGAATCAGATATTTCAATCCGTTTTATGATTTTTGAAAGCCCTGAATATCATTGTTTACAGTCTCTTCTTAACGCACTTTCCATGTGTTCCTGTTCGGCCTTCCAAGGGCAGGTTACATAGGCCACCCCCTCCCAACCTCCCTTTTGGACTGCTCTCACGTGTTAACCCACCCGCCCACACCTTTAAACCCGTTTGGGGAATATTTCAAATCTGAAGGGGGAAATCTTGAGCGATGGATCACAAGGAGTATTCGCAAACACTCCAGGCTAATGATTCTTGTATTTGGTCACAGGTGTACCCTGCTTTTGTATACTACAATATCTCTATTGGTGAGAAAGAGGGAGAAAATTATGCTAAAACCACGTGGATAGAAAGGAGAACGGCACTGCTGGAATCAGGAAAGGAGCAGCATTCCTGTTCTCCTTTACATACATGTGTATACTTAGATAAATAATGATACACCACGGTAGTGTGAGGGAGGCGTTTAACAAAATACAAGCTTCAAATTAGAAACATTTTCCCAACTTTTCAATAACTTAATCAGAGCAAATCAGCGACAAATCAATGGGATGCTTCTAAATATTCTCCTGCCCCAATACTGCTTAACTCCTTTTCTCAACTCCTCCTAAATAACCAGATAGTGGTGAGGAGGAGAAACGAGGTTTGTATTTCAATATAAAGGTGTGAAGTGAAAAAGTGTCCAGGGGGTGAGATTTAAATCACGTATCTGAACATACCAGAGTCAGGGAGTAGTATTCTAAAATGTGTAGATAAAATCCTTTCCGGGAGGTCTCCATGCCCATTCCCACTTCCCTCCCGAGGCTGCTGAGGGCAAGTTTTATTTTTTAAAAGGTAGTAGGCAACGGTGTTTCTGGTTTTGCTTAGTGTATCCTCATCGTATTCACTCTTCAGCGAGTGAATACGATGAGAACGCACTGAGGGACCCGAGTTCGGTGAAATACTCAAACGCGTAGAGCACAGGGTGCCGGCCCACCGGGCTGCGCTCCCTTCCCAGGGGTGCCCGAGAGGGAGCACGCAAGCCCCGCGCAGCCAAACCTGGGCAGGGGTTGGCCCCTGCCGCGTGCGCGTGTGCCAGCCTGGGAGTGTCGGCGCGCGCGTGGCGGGTGCGTGCCGGTGTGTGTGCGTGACAGCGCGCGCGTGGCGGGGTGTGCAAGCGCCAGGGCGCGCGTGCCAGCGCGGGGGTGTGAGAGAGTGCGCGCGTGTAGGAGCGCCGGCGACTGGCGGGGCCCGAGCCCGGGGACGAGACCCTCGTGCTCCGGCTCTGCGCTCCGGCAGCGCCCACGCCGGCGAGAGGAGCGGGTGATGACTTTGTGACCTCAACGTTCCCCACCGTCACCCCTCATGTTCCCGCTCCCGAAAGGTGCAGAACTCCCCCCACTCGCTCCGGACGAGACCGAGCTAGGCGTCGAGGGCGTGCGGCGCAGCCGACCGGAGCTCGGGCTCGCTGGCCGCGCAGACGCCGCGGTGTGGAGGGAACGGATGCGCGGCGAGGTGACCCGCTCTGGGCAACGCGAGAGCAGCTGCCCGAAGCAAGGCACTAGCTGGTCCGGGGCTCGGGCTAGCCAGGGCCGGTGTGTCGGGGCGCGCGCTCTCTCGGGCAGGCGAGTGCCGAGCCCCGCGGATGCCCCTGCGCCCCCCGCCTGCTTCTCCGCCCGGCGACCCCGAGCTCCTAGGCTGCGGTGCGCCAGGCCAGACCCGAGTGAGGGCGGAAGACCCGAGCCGCAGGGAGGCAGAAAGAAAAGAGGTAGCAAGCCCCAGACAAGGGATCCTTAATTACAGATTAAAGGCAAACAAAACCGTACACCCCATTTTCCATGTGTCCGCTGACAGCCGCGACAAAACGAAACAGAACGCTGGGGGGTGGGGGAAGGCCCCTTCTTATCCGCCCCTCACCCCTTGACAAAGTGTGCAAAATGCATTAGGTAGTGACTCTGGATAGGTGGTGCCCGGGGCCAAATAGCAGCTGCACGCTCCTTGGTGTAGGAAGACAGTTTGCTGATGCACCCAGAGATCTGGGGAACCTCTTACAAAAAAGGTACTACAAATGCTCCGCTTGAGCACATTTTGCTGCTTTAAAACTTCATTACTCATATATTTTAAGTTAAAAATTTTTGTGCTTAGAGTGTTGCAATTCATTATCTTCAGTAAAATTCTAATACACACAAACATACACACAATTTTGTTTTGCAATTTTGTAGATTCTATTTTATTGGCCTGTTATCACAGCATTAGAATACAAGGGGAGAAGCCAAGCCGATTGAAAGCCAGGGAACATAGCTGCAAGCACCAGAGAGCACAAGTTCCCCTCCATGGTTCTGCGACTCAAATAGAAAAAGGAGAGATGTCTGCTTTGATTTCTTTCCTTTTAATTAATCATGATCACGAAGCAATCTCCACCCTGTGCCTGGGATTTAAGATACTGGTTTAACTCCACCGTGTCCCGAATTCTCCACAGAAGGTGGAGGAGTGTTCAGAATCTAAAGTCCACCCACTGACCACTAAAAACCTCTAGGTCTGTGCCCTCATTTTTAATACTCAAAGGATCACCCTGAGCCACCACACAGTGCATTCTTCTCTATTTTCCTCCTCCTGTTGCTGCGCCAGTTTTGGAAATTAGAAGGGGTTGTCTCTTTGTTAGCAATCTGTTTACTTTCTTCTGATACAATGAAGCATCAGGTCGAAGGTGACAAGGCTGCTTTGCTTAGTCATTTTTACCTATCTTCTTTGTAGATGATTTTTTCCACTTTCAATTACATATTTTTCATTAATGCCATCTCCCCAACAGCATTTAAAAAAATAAGATTTCCAAGTCTTTTTTTTTCCCCACGTGGTTCCAGTCAAATGATTTACCCACACCCCAAATACTATTACATTCAATATTAACACCTGCCTATCAGTAATTCTTAAAGATTTTCTGATTCATATTTAACAATTTAAATGATGGCTAACATTATTGCCAGGCAAATGCCTAAACCAGTAGTCTGTGGACTGGTTGCCAGCCAGACGACAGCCAGGTATAAGAACTCACGGATAAGAACATGATTAAGTTTCTGCCCTAGTCTCTTCAATTGCAGAAGACAGACAGCACTTTTTCTCACCTTCCAGGGAAGCAGATTAGCAGATTAACAAAATGATGGAAATCATGCAAGGTTTAAATCCCCCTTCCACTTCTAATACACATTTAGGAAAACTTGAAGATTTTTCCTTTAGGCATCCAGTCTTTCTGTGGTTTAGCCACACCCTCTCCCCTTTTCAGCTTTATCCTTCTGTAAAATAAGTAACGTGAGGGAGCAGAGTAGTTTTTTTCTTTTGGCTTTCCTGTGTTTGAGTGGATCGTCCTGTTGCCATCCTTTTAGTCCAGCTGTTGTTAGTTCATGTTCTTACCACCCACCAAAGAATAGCACAGGATTAAGTTTATATTAATAAATGATGTTCATGAGTAGGTTTTTAAATGCCAGAGTTATGATTTATTTTTTAAATGGGTGGAGAAAGGAGAATAGCAATAAAACTAGCTCCATTCAAAATTCTTGGCTTCAGACATCTATGTGGGTTTTTCTTTCTTTGTTTTGGTCTTTAAGTTTTTTTGGACATATCTCTTATTTCCCTTTAAATCCTATTATCATGGACTAAACATTTTTTTGACCATATTTGTCCATAGCTTAAAACCATTTATTACAGTTAAATTTACAGAAAGTATTATATAGTGGTTCTCTTTTCTACTTCCTAACAGTTTATAATTGTCCCTGTTTATCTCCCCCACCCATTACAAATTCCGTTATAAATCCCTGCAGTAAATAAATTAAAATCTGCAACTTCAGACACCCAAGGAAGAGGACATTAATCCACTTAGTAAAATACTCAAGACCTCCCCCTCTCAATTTCAGCTCTTCTTAATGTAACATTCAGTAATTGCAGCTGGCTCCTTATACTTCCCTCCCTCCCTTTTATTCTGAATCATATTGGCCTTGCTTAACCTTCATTTCCTTTTCTACCCCCTACATTTGTCCACATACTTTTCTTTGAACATGTTTGTCTTTCTCTTTCTACTGCGTGGATTGACGGCAATAAACGAAGCTTTCCAAGAGCTTAATACTTGCTGGTAAAATCCCATCCTACCTCCCCATTCCACTATTAACGCTTTGTACAATTTTTATGCATCCTTCAGTTGTGTAGTTACTGCTCTATATTTTTCTGATTGATCATTAAGTTATGCTTGCTTTTCAGAACTGCCTCCATAATCCTGAAGCAAAGGCTTTTTACTTGGCATGCTCTCTGCCTTTGGAATGCCTTTCCTGGCAAGGACAGGCGCTTTGGTTTGACTACGATTCTTAAGTTACAATTCAAAGCTAATTTGTTCAGTTAGGTTTCTACTATGAGCAGCTCTGTTTCTCACCGTTAAGTGCTCCATGATGCTGCTTAGTTGAAGGGTGTGTTGTAAGTGTAAGATGTAATATACTTATTTTGTACTTGATTATCAGTTTTCAAAAACAGCTGCATGCTTTGATATCTGTGTAAGGAAATATCGAAAGATAATATACCATTGGTATTTATTACTCTATAATTAAGGACGTTTCAGTGTTTCCCTTCCAAAAAGCCCCCTATTTCCAGAAATTCATATCTCAGGCATAAATTTCCCTATGAATTAGGGTCTAATACCATATTAGAAATTTTTCCTTTTTAAGTTATCTCTCCCCTTCCTTTTCTTTCTGGGGAAGTAAGTCTCGGGATGTAATTTCTGCGTTATCGCTTTTGTATGAGAGGAAGCAGGCCCAGTGCTGCACAGTTAAAGGTGCTACCACGCTGCCACCTGCTCCCTCTGCTCTTCCACCCTGTGCGGAAAGATGCAAGGGGCTGCCTTTTGGATGAAGGTCAAGCCTTATACATACCTGGGTGAGCAGCTTTGTCGTTGTATGATTCAAAAAGCAATAGAGAAGGATCAGTTGTTCAGAAATACCACAAATGCCACAGAGTCTGAACTTTTCATACAGAAATCAGTTCTTCTGCATTCCTCTCCTTTTGTTCATTGAGAATACAAATACTGGCAGGTGTAACATGAAATACACCTAGAGTAAGGTATTAGCGACTTATTAACACATTTCTTCTGACAGTGAAAGGCAGAAGGAAGAAAGACGACAAAGAGATGAGAAGACAGATGTTTTTCCCTCCTTGAAGAGTTGGTCTTGACTATTGCCCAACCACAGCCTAGTGAAAGAGCTCTAGAAAATCTGAATTCTAGATCTGCCTGTACCACTGTGGGACCCAAGGCAAGTCAACTTCTCCTCTGTTTCCTACATCTCAAATATAGGAGGTTACAAAAATAAGTGCTTCTCAGGAGGCCCAGGGAAGTTATCTAAATGTATGAATTCAGCAGAGGGGTAAGACCACAGAGAGTGGTTGGGGCCTGTGACAGATAGGGTATACTCACTGAATGCCTCCCTAAAGGGAGAATCAGAGTAATAATAAAAACAATTAAAATATTGGCCATATGACATGGTCTCTTAATATCCCTTTTAATGTCAGAAACGTGGGACACAAAATAAACACCCTGACTGCCCTTTGCTGCTTCCTGCCAGTTGGAGAGAGAAATAGAAGGGAACTAGGGGTCCAACTGAGTCATGTACACTGCACTTGGTGCTTCCTGAACGGCATATGGGTGACAATGACAGCATGCCACGTAGCGAAAGGCTTATACAATAAATCTTCTGTTTCTGTAACACACTTCAGCTCCTAAATATGTCACTATATATGCCTTAATATTCTCGTTTGTGAAATGATATTGAAAACATTAAATTTGCAGATCTAAAGGATTTTGAATTGCTTGAGAAAGGTCATACCAGTATTCCTAGGAGTCACATCTTCTAGCACCACACCTCAGGCCTGCTATTTAAATGCAGTAATTGATAGGAAAGTAATATAACCATTTAAAATGATCTTCTAAGAATCATCAATTCCTTATATCAGTTTATAAAAACAATTAGAATCCTCTCCTTGGGGTTGGGAGAGGATAAGGAATCAATCAGATAATGATAGATGATGGCAGGACACCTGAAAAAACTGATCCCAAATTCCAACATAGAGAAATGGACTGCAGAGTGAGTGGGGAGCCTGGTCCCTCAAGCCATCTGTGCCTCATATGCAATGAGGGCATCCCACAGATACCAGGGAGAACTGTTCCCCTGAGATAGATTGCAAGGAAAGGACAGAGACCATGATTCACTCCTGTGCCTTGAAGATGAAAAGGGACAGGCGGCAACACTACGGGGACTGGGCAGTGTGGATGGGAGCTCAGAGAGCTCTTGTACTCTAAGAGGCAGCTCTGAAGTTTTTGAGATCCAAAAGGCTGGGCTCATTTAACATCTGCATTCGTCTTCCTTTCCTTACCCTTTAAAAGGGAGTTTAGAGCTATAGTTTTCCATCTTGTGTTGTAATGCCACAGGCCTCAGTTAGAAATGGTGATCAGCAGCCCCAAGAAACGAACTTGGGGATAGTTAAGTCTGACTTTCTCCACAGCATGAGGGTTGGGGTGAAGTCCCTGGCTCCTGTTAAGTAGAGGAAAGTCTTCTCATGCAAAGTTGGCAGTAGAGTCGTTTCTGTTACTGTCTGAGGGAAGCGGTTTTCTGACACAATCAATAGCTGAGGAAGCCAAAAAATGTTACAGACAGACTGATAGCACAACTAGTAAAATGTTTCCCAAAGTATTTACATTTCCTATCAAAAGGTATATCCAATAAATACACTGAAGACATGATGAGGAGTCATAAAGAATGGCAAGAAGGCTTTGTGTAGCATGACCCAGCTTAAGAAACAGATCACTCATCATGCAATGAATACACCTCTCCCCACTTCCATGTTCTGTTCTTCTCTGCCATAGCTCCTCTGGTGTAACCATTATTTTAAGTTTGGTTAATTTCCAGGTTTTCTGTAATACTGTACTTTAATCACACAGGTATGTATCTTTGAACAGCATGTAGAATTACTTGTATGTTTTTAAGACTTCCCCAGTTATATTTTAATGACTTAGCTCTGAAGAGAGGGCATAGGATAGGAGCTTAGTTGTCTGTACCGCAATTCAAATTTTAAAATGAAACATGTTCAAGTCAGTGGTTTATAATATACTCTCTTCTTTGTTAAACATAAGCTCTAATATTAAACAGTCCCAAATTTTCCACTGAAAAAGATAGGAAGTTTGGGTCAATAGTCAATAGAAGTATAAGGCTCATGGTGCATGTCGGCATTAAAAGAAAGCATGTATTATTATTTGAAAACTGATTCTTTCATTCACAGAAAGTATCTTTTGAGACCTAAGTGAAATTTCTTTTGTGGCTCATAGTATTTCTGGGTAGCAGATGCTTTCTCAAAAACAGATTTTACTTTTAAAAATATCAAATATAATTAACACCTTCAACATAAAATAAAATCTTTGCTTCCAGATGCATTTCAAGGTGTTGAAATTAATCTATGCAGCACTCTATGGCTGAATTTCCACGGACTTATGGATTCTGCTGCCATATTGATGTCTGACGGACTGAGAACAGGAGCAGGGCATTTAAGCTTATCTGTATTTGAAGGATGCTTATTAAACCAGGAGCATTTTAAAAAAGGTATTTGCATCTATTTCATAACAGTATAAATGAGTAGGTTAAGAACCAGGTGCCCTGATAGTTGTTACAGTAACACCTAGCCAGAAACACAGATTAAGTTTAGGGCAAACTGTGTTTCAAGACACTATATCAAAGTCTTGATAATGGATGGACTTTTAAAGATACTTATAATTAGAATTGGAAAAGAAAAAATTAACAATTGAAAGTTAAAAAAAACGACTAAATTTTCCATCAAACATACTCAGAACAATAAATGATGGGGGTGGTTGAAAAGGGAAACAATTAATGAGTCAAACTGTAGTCCCAATTATCCACCGAGACTTCAACAAAATGCTGATAAACTTATTTAAAAACACTTCATTCCACTAGGTCATGGGTGTAGAGAAGCATGTGTGCACATGCACACACACTCCTACATATTTTTAAATGTTAAGAATTACACATTTATAAAACTTTTTATTGCTTATGTGAATGAATAGCAACTCTGACATTACAGTCTTCATATTTTTTTTTTTAATTTTATAAACTGCAAATCTTAGTATCATGCAAATAAGTGACACCTTTAATGTAAGTTTTTGTCCTGGGAGGAATGTTGGCCACAGCTAAAGGCAAAATTTGATTTGCGTTTATGAGTGTGGAAAAAATACCCACATACAGGTAACTTTCAATATTATATTTGCCTAAATCAGGAAAATACATAAATGTTTAGTGCTTTTTCTTTTTCCTATCAAGTAGTGAGAAAAGATATATGGGTACTAGTTGTGTGTAGAATATCCTAGCCACTATAAAGTGTAAGCCCATTATTTTCAGAATAGAAAAACAAAGTCAATGAAGCACTATTTCCTGGTTGGAGAAGATGTCATCTGTGACATAGCACCTGACAGAAGCAAACTGACGCATCTGGTTTATCTCAGTAGACAGCATAAAGTATAACCCTGCCCAGGAGAAGTGGCAAAGAATTTCTTATTCATATTTATATCTTTAGTTTTGCTCTCCAAAGGAGCACACCTGCTAGATTTTGAGTTCCACAGTCTTAGACGGGAAGGAACTTCCAAAATAGTCCTTAGCTCTTTGTTTTCTGGGTGAGGAGGTAATTTTGTTCACTGGCTTCCCTGTTAAGAATCTAGAAACCAGTGCTGTGGTGGCCCATCACACTGCGGGTCTCATAAAGGTTGGAGGGAGGAGTCTGTTCAGATGGAGCTTGTTGTTTCTGCTTCTTACTCTTCCTGCTTTTAAATTCCCAGGCCTCATGGACTGGTTTCTTTGATATGTAATACTGCCTCTCTCCCAAGGCCTTTGTCTGACTCCCTAACCTTATCTATTTCCTGCTTTAGATTTTGCTACCTGTCAAATGGGCCTTATTGGACTTCTGAATCACTGCCTTCTCTATCTAAGATGCCTGCTAGCCCACTCAATCCTTCCAGAAGCCAGAGAGCCTGGCTTGCCCCTTGTCTAGCCACCTTTCCCTGGCTGTGCCTCACTCTGTGGTGTATAGAAGTTATTCATTTCAAAAGCTAGGAAAGTTACAATTTACCTGTCAGTAAACAGAAGATGGTTTATCAACAGACTTTACCTTAATGACTACAAATGTTTACCTCCTGCTTTCCAGAATGCAAAGAAAATCTTGGAAATGTCATAATATCTTACAAACATTTGCAAAACAGATCCTTGTTCATCCGGAAAAGAAACAATTGTATTCGTTGTCTCTGTCACAAGGAAAACATTCAGTGAGAAACATATAGGTAGATGTATACATCTATATGTAAATGAATATGCTAATTAAAAATGGAAGTGAGTACTTTATTAAAAACTTATTTTACCATCTAGCCATTCAAAACGTCTTTACATCAACAAACACAGCAGTTTGACTATTGGAATCATAAGCATTTATCTTGAAAAGGTTGTATTTGTAGGTGGATCCAAGTATTTTTGAGAAATATTTCTATCAAAATTACTGGTTTTGTTAGAAGTATTTTGATTTCTCTATTTTTACCTGGGGAAAAAAATTAAAACAACTATGTCAGTGTTCATTTTATGGGCTAGATGGCCTCACTGTGTTTGTCATGCTTGTCCGAATTACAGCTGTTTATCTTGCAACTTTCTTTAAGATTAATGAAATGCAAATGTAACTATGTGAACCATGGGAATACCTGCCAGACCTCTTATTAATACCTTCACTTAAAAACCTGTGCCGGAGAGTCATTAATTTGCTAAAAGAAAAGTGCTAAAGCAGCCCTTTGCCCACAAACAATTCTGCAATGGCTGCCCAATTAGTTCTGAAGCATTCTGATCCTCCTTTCAGGCCTCGTGGCCCTTTGAGGACACAAGAAGGCTCCGATGATAACCTGGCAACCTAGGTAGAAACCCAGCCAAGTGTGAGCGTTTGAAGCTGCAGTTTGGCTGCCATCGTGTCGGCGAAAAGAAAGAATTCAGGCACCATGTCATCCAGTACAAAGGATAAAAACAGATTCAACTGGAAATTCAATGTGGCACCACATATGGGATACATGAGTGCGGTTATACAACAGGCCACATATTTTTTTGAACAGTCTCCTACATGTGATGCCGAGGACATGTGTAACCATCATAACGTCTCTAGGAATCTGTATTTAATTTGAGTTGGGGTGGTGGCAGGGATTGGAGATCTGAAGCCGCCACAGGTTTGTGGCAGATGGCTCTGTGTCAGCTATGACAAGCAGCCAGGCTCAGCTTCCTCTGCAGATTTTCTTTTCTCTCTGATCAGGTAAATATGGGCACACTCTGGAAAGTTCTTCAGATTCTGCCTTAGGCTGCAAGTTTGTGACTTAGCCCCATCTGTCACAAATCTTCCCTAGGTTCTGTTGTAAGCAGAGACCTGAATTTACCATGTAGGGCTGCCCAAGAAAACCGAGTGATTTCACCCTGCAATGAGGAGGAGGGAGAGAAGAGAAAGAAGTGAAGAGCATTAATGATTGAAAGATGAAAGTATGCTGAAAATTTGTATCACAAACTTCCATCACTTACGTCAATTACATTTCAAAAAGCCACCAAGTAAATGGTTCTTGAGTTTCATCACCTCAGGAAATCTCAATTTCTGATTGGTTTAAAGTGTCGTCGTATTTCCAACCAGAGAAGAAGGCTACCGCTTTCTGCAAATGAGTATATTCTGTTGCACACATTTTTTTGGTTTATGTTATGAATGACAGCCATTCGAAGTTCATCATCCAACGTTTAACTTTTATAAAACACAAGACATAATACTATACATACAAGTTTTTGCTAATGTGAATTTTACTTTTAAATGATGAAGACACAAAGATAAATGCCACTACTGCTATTATGTAAACTTTATAAAGCACTTCATATTTACAACAGGTTTGTATTCATTATTTCATTACAGCAGTACCTCAGGAGGAAAATGCTATTTTAAAAAAGTATTCTTCCAGGTTTACAGATGAGTCATAAAGAGGCCAAGTAAAGCACCTAGGGTCAGGCTGCAAATAAGTAAGCAGAGAAGGACAAAACCTCTAACTGATCTTAATCAGCCAAAGCATATCTGTGATGCTAAATGGCTTTTTCCTTTTATTTTATTTAGACAAATCAAAGGAAAGCCAGACCAAATAAAACTGAGGGAGGAGGTGAAGAATGAAGGAAGGAAGGGAGAGAGGGAAAAAGAAAGGGAATGGAGGGAAAGGCAGAGGGGAGAGAGAGAGAAAAAGTGAGAGACTGAGACTGAGAATTTGCCTTAATTGTGTTGGTGCTGGTGCAGAGATTTTAGAATTTCTTAGAATGTCGCAAGCATTTAAGTTGTCATGTTTAAGGATAAAGTAAGGACTCTGGAGCAGTATTAAAACTAGTGAGCAGCACCTTATTCAAATATAAGAGTTTAAGCTCAAATTAAAAGGGAATTGTAAAGTGACTAGTTTCTTGAAGGAAGCAAAGTAGCTTGGCTGTGGTTCAGGTATAGATAGCTTGACATAATCAAGATAACCACAAATGGCTTTTCTGGGCAATGAGTGTGAATTGTAAGCTTAATTATTGTTTGGAATTAGTTTCAGGCAAAACTCTAAAAATTCTTTTCTCTTCCAAATAACAGCAGGTCATAAAGGTTTTGTCATGTTGGAGAACTTGAAGAGAACAAAACAATTAGCAGCTAAAACTTGAAAAAATCTTAAGAAACTACAAGTCACTTTGAAAAAGCAAAAGAAAGAATGGCATCTCTCTTTTTAAACCAGAGAATACCATTTGATTTATAAATAAAAGTAATTGAAAAATGAGACAAGAATGAAAATCTTTTCTGTCAGTCTGAATGATGTCTACCTTCTACAACTGCCCTATTTGTACCCTTACATTCATTTCAATACTGGTAATGAGGAAATAGCTATAAAATGTCTTTCAACAGCATTTAAAAATATAATGATCAGGGTTCTCTAAAAGCATGAAATACTAATCTCAAATAATTGAGAATTTTCAGTAAGTAAATTCACATAGTATAATAAAAGTGAGGCAAAAAAAAAAAAAAAAACAGCTTCACGATATTAGACTTGCTTGGGTTAGAAGGGAAGAACTACTGTTAGTTTACAAAGTCAATCCATGGCTGATTCTTTTGTGATCACTTCTAGAAACCTGTGTTCAAGTTAGGCTTAGGAGTCACTGAAGAGGTCCCTATTTTATCTCTGTGAGAAGTATGTATCTGGTGCATCTGCCTGACCTGAAAAAGCATGTGTCGACAGTACAAGTTTACAGTCAATGATTAACTGTAGACATAAACTTTCTAAGAAGTGGTTTTATATTTCTTAAATTAAGAAAAATGGTTTTAGGTTTTTAAAAATTATTAAGATACATTTAATTTTTTCATGTACTAGATTTCTCTAATGATCCTAAGGGAAGTGTGTGCGTGTGTGTGCACGTGTGTGTGTGAGAGTGAGCAAGTACACACTTGAATGCAAATGAGGAATTTACACATTTCAGGTCTGAAACTATTTCAGGTGGGAAATCAGAGACACAAGTGTTCTGTGATAGGAGTCACTTTAAGAAAAAAAGTAAATTCTGTTTCTGCTTTTCACTTACAAGCATTCTGTTTCAAATCCTGCTTCAAGTTATACCCCAAACTCTCACTCATATTGAAAGTATAATGTCTGATGTGAGAAGAAAGCCAAGTGTTAGTAGCCTTATTCTAGTCATTAAATTTCTAAGTGTGAATCCATATGAAAAATCCTATCCTAAAGTGAACTCTATATGATAAGAAGTTGAAATGATTTTAAAATGTAAACTTTTAACAACAAAAAAAGAATAAGGTGTAAAAATGTAAAAGGAACAAATTAAAGAATTCAGTGACATTCTATCCTTTTAGATCTTAGAAGCATATGTTTTATAAAAGCAAAACAGCACTGTCCAATGAAATAAATCTAAAAATAACTCCCAACATTCTTTTCACAGTACGCACAAAAGATCTTCTCCGACAGCGTAAGAAAAGTAGGTAAAAGCTAAAATGCTAATTCTCTAGTACTTAGCAAAAGCAAATGTTACCTGAAAATGTGTCTATTTACAAAACACAAGATAAAAAATTACAATAACTTGTTGTATCATTATTATAAAGGCTTAGAAGGCACTTTTTTTTTGGCTTTAAATCCCATAACAACACACAAACTACATCTGTGGTCCTTCCTGTGCTTTTAACTCTATAACTTGCAACATGCCAGTTTTTCCTAATAATTGTATCATAAAACTCTTGATTGCTTAAATTTTTAGACTAATTTATTAATTTTTGAAATTTTTAGACAATATCACTAAACACTATGGATGAAGGGATATGTGAAAATGTATTATAGATTTATAAGAAAACAATCTATGGTACACAATACTTAAAAATGAATTATATAAATAAGCTCTTATAAATGCTTTTGCATGAATTACTAATTTATAAAACTTTGAGATGCACGTTTTTAGGGTGTACAAGCTAAAATATATTTAGGTGCTCACATGTAACAGCGCAATGAAATATCATTTAAGATACAGGTTTTCGTTTAAGCTGTGTGAAGAACAATTTGGTGTATTAACAACATATCTCTAAGCTGCCATTCCTGTTTTCAGAAGTTGTTTGTAAAATAAATAATTATAGCTATATTATGGCAATAGTTGAATGAAAATATTTCAACTGGACATCTGCTTTCTTTTCTTACTAGAGGCAACTTGTTGCAGTGACTTTTAAAATAGTTAAAAATTTGCAGATGCAGAATAACAGGGCTAAGCAATGCTACAAACTGATACATTTAGTGGTGGAAATATATTTATAAATACTTCACCAAAAATTCATCCGAAAGGAGGAAAAATCAATAATTTGACTGAGAACTTACTGAAAATAGCTTTGTGTCATATATAGAAAATAAATTCAAATTTGTACTAATACTTGTATTTCCTCAATTTTTATTATCTGCATATTTTGACAGTCTATCACATGGGAAACTAGTCGATTGATATTTCATACAAACAAAACTGCTACTGAACTTTAAAAATTAGGAAATATTGAGGTAAACCTTGGACGACTGTTTCCTCTGTGGAGCTTCCCATGTATACAATACAATACTATTGACTCAAGGAGTAATACTGAAGCTGGAACTGTTCAGTCAGCATTTTAAACTATTATGAGCTACCTTCTGAACCATTGCCAAGTTAATAGACAATGAAAGATAATGAGCTTGAAATTGGGTGTTAAATTGCATTTTTGGTTCTCTTTCTTTTTCTTGAAGTTTAACTGTTTCCTGTAGAAACAAAGTCATGTTGTGATGTATCACTATGTAAATATGTATTTTAGACTATGAGCTGGGAAAGGAGAAAAAAAAGGCAGAGAACTGTATTTCATGTAGAAGGTTATATATTAACGTAGGAAAATTAAAATATGCTGGATTATAAAACTGCAAGATTGTAAACTATACTGGATTTATGTAAAATGAAGATGCTACATTTGAAGAATATAAAAAGGTATATTACTCATGGCCTAGAGCCACCTTCAAAACTCAGAAAGCATATTTATCCTAGTTCAATTACTTAAGACTTTTAGTAGGGCTTCTTTGTGTTACTATTTCAACAATGCAAAATTCTTGATTCAAATAAGGAAAAGAAGATAATGAACCAGGGGAGTGAATAATGATGCTGTTTACATTATTTTCCCTTTGCCACTCAGAGATGAGGCTGACATTCTTATTCTAAAGAAACTGGGGATTTTTATTAAATTGGATAAGAGAAATAGTCAATTCTTAAAAATCACCTTTCAAGTAGTTCAAAAATGAACACCAAACTTCACTAATGTCATTCACCTGAATTTTTGAGGACTAAAGATTTCATTATGATGGGAAGAAAGGCTTATCCTCATTAATATAATTGTAGAATCTTTCCTTTACTTCCTTTTAAACTAATGAGTTACATTAATCCAGGTTCATTTTTATAAGCCTCTAGGGGCTAAATGTAAAGGACAGTCATCTTAGAAAACAATAAATTAAAAAAAAAGCATGTACCGTGCATTAAGTGCACGTATTTCATAAGACCTAGGTTAATACAACTGGCATCCAGTTTAATTAATCCTTGTTAGTGTAACAACTAATATCCCTCCCTAGCATGTTTCCTTTAAACATTAGTATGTTAATTAAATGTTTTTTTTTTTAAGATTTTTCTTTGTACTTCAATATGGTGTTTATACCATGTAAATCGCTTCCCAATAACTACCTTATAGAGATGTTTTCTTATAATATCTGGTCTCTTGCAGAAATTCTGGAGCCTTTTTGAAAGCTGTTCAGGTGTTGAATACAGATATTCAGCTGCAGGAAAAACAGATACATTTTTAATGAAACAAAAACCTCAAAGCACACACTCGATATTAGTCACTTTACTAATTAAAAATGCATATTGCTCTGTGCCGCCTCGTGTTTTACATTATTTAAGCATGATTTTATAAGGTTACCTCAGCTCACAAGGATGTTTAATGCTAAATAAGACTGTGTAGTTGTGCTGTTTAGACATCTCCTTTGGGTGATTAAAATACATTATTCTAATGTAACACAATGCATATGTGATATATTTAGTGATGAGAATTTTTTCAAAAAACTGGTACTATAGCCGTATGTACCCTGTAGAACAGTTGCATATTATTAACTAGTCAATTGTTTAAATAATTTGGTGTGACTTTCCGTCCCTGATTTTTCTCTGTGTGTATCATTAAAAAAAATCTGTAAGCAATTGCAGCAACATTGACCTGCTTATAAAAATCCATCATTATGGGATGTGTATGCTAACAATGAAGAATGTTATTTGAAAACTTGCTTTTTTGTTATCTTAAAAGAACAGATGGTAAATATAAGCTTACTCTAATGTATTAAAACACATAAAATTTTCCTTAACACTAACATGTTGACTTGCCAAATAAACAATGGCTCCTGCCTAAGTTTATTTTCAAACTTTCTGATTTAGCATGAATTGCATATTAAATCTCAATAAAGATGAAGGCACATTAAGGCAACTACCTGGAAATATTTCAGGATAAACCAAATCTTTAGGACAAAGTGGGTAACACCCACAGTACACAGCTTCCAACCTAGAGAAAATTTAGAAAGAGTGTAAGAATATATTAAAAAGACATTACCATCATAGCCAGAAAGTGGTTTTGTTTGCCTAAGTTAACAGAATGAGCCCAGAGTTAACTGGGACAAAAAACATGATCGGCAGTATAATTCTAAAAGCCAAAGTTGCTCTTTTAAAAGATTTTATTGATCATATATGAATTTCATAGAACAGAACCAACAGCATATGTTTTGTTCACTGAATTAATCAAAGCGCAGCTCTGCATTTATTTTTTGTTTTTAAAATACTGTTTAACACATTTTATAATCAGCAGATAAACACATGTAACAACATGGTAAAGTATGGACAGCTTTTCTTAATAATGCTGCAGAGCCTCAGAATGTTCATTTTTCAAAAATGTTTAAATAAAATAGCAAATACTTAACTTTAGCACTGTAGCCGTAGAAAAGGTTGAGGCACTTTTAAAAGCATCAGAAAAAAAATAACAATCTGTTGTAATGGGGCATTTTCATTTTAAGCTCATGCTTCAAAGCAATTTGTTGTTATGCAGAATGTAAAACTCTTCCCCCTTTCGTTGAAAAACTCTCATGAAGATTACTTTAGTGAACATTTTGCTTTCTTGACCAAAAACACAGCTCACTTTCCATTTTATCAGCAAAGAATAACTGTATTATTAAACAAACAAACAGGAAAGTTTCACTTTGTGAGAGGATTTCCCCATAGACCCACCTATGGGAAGTTTTTCTTCACGTCACAGTAGAAGGGTTAAGCAGAAGCAAGGTATTGCGTCTTCATTCTGTGTTAGCTCTGCATAATAGCTATTGATCTGACATATAATCAACTTTAAAGATACCACCGTCATTCTGTTGGCTAGAAATTATGCAGTGAAATTCAAAACACCCTTTAAAATATGTTTATTTTCTGAGAAAGTCTGAATTGCGTCCAAAATGTTGACCAAAGGGGAAATTTATTTTGAACTGCAGATTTTTTTCAACCCAAGAATACTCTCAAGTCATGTCAGTGTTTACCTTGTTTATTTACAGTGATGAAGTACATGAAACTTAAGCTGTTTTTAAGTGGGTGATGTTTTCCCTGTTTTCCTATGTTAACTGAAATTAGTTTAAATGAAAAGTATTTACTTTGAGCTGCAAATTTTGGAAAAATATTGAGTTCAAAGTTCTGCCTGAGAACTGATAGATGTTAGAAAATAACACAGTGGGAAGGCACAGGTTCTGGTTACTGATTATTAATTTCAGAATGCAAACTAGTATCTATTTTTCTGATACACATATAGGGTACACATAGAAATTCTTATTATAATCACAGCTATAAACTATACTGTGACTATATTATAAAACATTTACAAAAGTTTTGAGTTTTATAATCCAATGATATTCTTTATGGACCAAAAGAAAGCATGCACTTTATCTTAAGACATTCAGTTATTAAATGTTGTGCCAATTGAAAAGCAAATACATAAGAACATTCTCTTATAATTACATAAAATCAAAAGAGTGAAGTCATAGGCATTTCAGAGAGTGCACATGTTATCTGCTTTTTAATAATGGATTGGAATTAGGGTATACTTTTCCCCGAAAGAAAATTGCAGGCCAAGTTACATTTTGAGTCATCGTATGAATATGTACCATGCCGTTTCCAAAAAACCTCTGCTAATTAAAATACAGTAAGATAGAAATGGCATTATTTGATTCAGGAAGAAAAATTTTACAAATTTTGGATTTCAACTTCTATTTGTAAATTATGTTAGTCATGGTTATATTTCTAATTCATCAAGAAAAAAAGCCCACCAACTCTTTCGGTTCTATTTTTGACTTGTTATGATATACATTACTTACATGAGGACTATGTTTTAAAATATATTAAATAGGCCACAGTATTTTAAAACTAATTTATAAAATTCATCTTCATAAGTTTCTCATATATATATTTTTAAAAATTATCTTATGACAATAATACAATTATTCATCACTTCAATTCTTAGGCACTACCAGTTATATAATAGAGTTCCAATTGATCTATTGTTAAAATGACTAGTAAATGACCTTTTTATTCCAATTAACAAATCATCTGCCAAATCTATGAATCTTAATATTCAGATCTATTCACTTCAATTCATACAATTTATCTGCAAATAGTTGTTGGGCTTTTGATTCTAAATATAATTAGCTGATAATTTTGCTTGGCTGAATTACTTTTCTGGAGGGCCTGCAAAGGCTCTCAGTCGCATTATCTAGCAATAATGAATCTGATAGGTGAAATTTTTTACTGTAATGAGGATGAGACACAGTTGTGACACCTGAGTCTACTAATAACAGAAGACTGCTAATTATCGACAGCACTTTTTTGTGTGATGCAAGGAGAAAAAAAATCCCTCATTATTAAAAAATAAAAAGTTACAATTATAAGTGACACTGGAGGAGAGTAAATAAAATGGAGTGATTAAAACATTGCTGCTTTAAGGGTGTTTTTAATTAAGTGGAAATGCTAATGTTGTCATACTTAGCAGATGGGATTAAAATTAGTTATTGTAAGTAACTCATATTTTATGTTATGGTTTCCACAGCATGTCTACAAGATCTAAGAAAGTGATACATTCCATAAGACATTTTAAAAATGAAATTCTCATACTCTTTACAACTCATAATAATGAACATCATGAATAAACTATTGAAAAAAATCCTGCCAAGGATTTTACCATAGTGACTTAACTAGCAAGGAATGTAACCATAATGTACTGGACTGTTACAATCTCACTGATGGTATGCCTTTTGCTTTGCTGATTGTTGCATTCCCTATTTCAATCACACTCAACAAAAACAAAAGTTTGGTACTTGGGCATTTAGCCAACATCAAATGTGGTGTCAAGAAGGTAGGGCCTGGATACAAGAAAAGATCATGACCACCCACTAAGGTGATGTTCTAAACTAAAACAGAGGATGCATCATGTAACTGCAGATAAAAACCTAATTGCACACTTTCTCCTACTTTATTTGTGTAAAATTTTCCATCTGCTACATCTAAAGATGTCTAAACTGTTAGTATCAAACCTGCATTCAGCTGCCAGCTGTGCACATTAAGGATTGCAAAACACTAAGTAAATGAGCCAGCGTGAAGCCGAGTGGTAGTGGTCCATCTGCCCAGGGCTGTGGGGAGGGACCCCGGTACCTGGTCCTTTTCAGAGCCTGTGTTTGCTTCAGTGGATAAGAAAGAAAATTAGCCACATTTCTAAGTGTCTCCATTTACAATACCCAATTTATCTGTATTTTCCTGGATAACTTCTATGTATCTGATGAGTATTCTTCTAGAGCAAGTTAATGGAATTCATTTCTTTTTCAAAGTTCTTTGGATACATTTTAATAAGGCCCCTTTAGAAATTATCTTGAATAGTTTGGCTGACAAGATTCTAACAATTTTTGGTGATATTCTGAAGGAGATTTTAAAGTAATCCTCTATGAAATTTGTTTCTAAAGGGTATAGAGTAAGTCATACGGCTTTGACTCAATGA